TTTGGAAATTACATGGTACAGATAGCTTGCATTGTCTGTGACATTCATTTCACAATAGTAAAAATGGCATTCCAAGTATATCTAAAGAGGGTATTGGATCTGAAAGGGTTACAAAACTGTGCTCTCACCTATTGGGAAGTTGTTAAAAAAATTATCTTGCTAGGCATTTGTTGTTCTTCTTTAGTGCGTTTAATCCATAGATTTGATAAACCTGTCTCCCACTGTGCCACTCAAATTATCAAAATGAATTTTTCCAGGACAGGACTAAATAAAGAGTTCCAGTCATGCCCACTCTGTTTCCATTAACCAGTCCTTGGGTCGTCGTTCCATCATAAAACTGTTTAACCTTTCCTATCTGTCGGTTTTCACCAAGAAACCCTGCCCAGGGCCTTCCTGGGGCCGAGCCAGACCACGCTGCCTGCCACAGTCACATAAACTTCCAGTCCAAAGTTCTTGCCAAAGAGAAGAGTTCACATTGTTGACCTTTTCTGGAAATGCCCAGACCTGCCAATGTTTCTCTTAGAAAATGGTACCCTGAATTGCACCAGAAACCAGTGTTTTGTGGTCTGACCAAGACAAGAAATATCCACAGATGAATATAGTACCTGTTTTGGTTGGGGGGTTTTGTTTTTACTAATAGAGACAGTTTTAGAAGGAAAGCAAATCTTGGACTAGAGCAACAATTCCAAAATCCAGTCACCGAAGGAACATTTTAAAATACACATCCCCAGACCCATGCCAGTGCCACGGAGGCAGACTTTCTGGAGGTAGATCCCGGAAATTAATATTAAAAATGATTTTTTGCAGGAGTTTCTGCTGTGGAGCAGTCATGCTCAAAAACAAGCATCAATCATCAGCTATTCCACATAAATAACTAGGGAATCCTGGCAAACTACCATGCTTTGTAGGAACTGGGACATCGAAATGTTGGTTTCTGAACTTGTAAGATACAGACTCATGCAAAGTAATTATGATTGCACAAGAGTCATTGTGTAAGTGTCTTTTTCAACCCTTTTTCGTTATTGCCACCTTAAAATAGAGCATTGTGATATATTTTTCCTAAGCTCCTCCCACTATGAGACTGTGTATATCACATATCTATTTATGTATTGTATGTATATTTGTGCTTTATACTTCCGTCTCCTAAGAACTAATTTATCCCCTCAGTATGAAATTGCTCCCTTGAGAATGTATGTGATAGAGGAATAAGGAAAGGATGACGGGAGCACAGAGAAGAGGGCAGCTAACTCCCTGGGACAGTCAGGGAGGGAAGAGGAGGAGTTGGCATTTGAGCCAGGTGTTGTAGGATGTGTAAGAGTCGGCCACATAGCAAAAGGAAGAAAGTGGTCCTAGGAGGAACAGCCTCCAGGCATTTGTGAAACATGATAAACTCTGAGGTCTACACCTCCATACAAGGGGTCTGGCATTTAAAACAGGAATCTGAGTATAATTTTACTTACAGACTGGCTCGTAGGAGGCATCAGATCCTGGGATCCTTTGTGAGTTTGAGGTGCTTAGGGAGCAGAAACTGGAAGAACACTAAGTTAGTAAAAACAGACATTTGGTTCCTTGAATTTCAGCCTACGCCTCAGATAGCAAGACTCCTGAGTAATAAATAATAGAGCACACTTTGGGCATAGTTCATCCGCCACACTCCCAGACACATTTCGAATACCATTCAAAGCAAGTCGTGAAAGCTCTGATTAATATACAACACAGAGCTCTCCATATATACTCTCAAGGGTAAAAATACTGCTGAAAAGCCAGTTCCTTTAAAAGCTGAGCCTCTAACACCACCTTGTGAATGATAATAAATGGCAAGCTAAGCCACAACGTAGCCTAGCCCCACTTCTGCCTCTGCGAGTTTTGCATACACACAAGTGTGTACTGAATCTTGGGCCGAGAGACCACGATGGTCTTCCCGTGAGATAAGATTTCCTATGAGACTCTTGGTATTTCCCCAACTCCAACTTGGTCAGAAATAGCAGCTCAAACTCTCAGCAGTGCTTCTCTTTTTCTTTTTTTCTTTTTCCTCCTAGTTCCCATTTAAGCAGCTTTAGGAATGTCCATCTCCTTGCTCCTAAAATAATACAGCTATTATTTTTCCTAAGGTCAGAGAAGTTTAGCTTTTTGACAACTTTCAATCTTGATGAATATTTAGGGAACAAGAGATTTAGATAAGGGACCAAAAAAATATTGTAATGAGGAAAAGCAACACACTGCCATCTCCACCCCGTCAGACCCAGATAGTTTATGTAAAAAATGGAGACTTGGGGTTCAGGTAAAGCTCCTCTTCCTGGTTTGCAGATGAACCCCTTCTCACTGCATCCAAGGAGAATAGTCTGTGGTGTCTAATTCCTTATAGAAACACCAGTCCTACTGGATGAAAGCCCTCTCCTTAGGACCTCATTTAACCTTAATCACTTCCTTGAAGGCCCTCTTAGCAAATAGTCACTGGGGTGGGCTTCAGCAAATGAACCTGTAGGAAGTGAGCTTACGACTCAGTCCATAATAAGCAAGAAAACAAAAGTGAATATACACATTATTGATTCCTTCATTGGCAAATATATTTTTGAGAGATAACTGTGTGCCTACTGCAGTGCTAGGTGACGGAAATATAACAGTGCCCACGATGGACCAAATCCCTTCCCTGGATCTTCGGAGCTTTTCATCTACTAAGAGCAACAAGCACCAAGCAAAAGCTACATAGCTAGCTTCAGAGGTGATAATGATAGGAAGAATGAAATGGTATTAGGCAAATGCAACAACCATAACTTTATACACAAAACAAGACGCTTGCTGCTATGCAGGATATGGCAACAAATAAGAATTTATGTTATAGATGAGAAAAAGGAAGCAAAAATCAGTACTCATGAAAGAAACACCATCATATCTGTCCCCTACAATTTATTATAATTGGAACTCAATTCATTTGAAGGAGTCCTGTGCTGTCTATAAAATAAATTAGGTTTATATATTTCTTAATGGTCACCATGGGCCCAAAAAACAATTACACAAGGATATTGCAGTATTGTTTGTAGAAGAAAAAGTAATAATCCAAGTGCCCATCATAAGGGGATTTGTTACATGTATAGAGCACTTCAAGGCAAAATTCAAAATAGGAGCCTAGGGCTATGTATACTTATATGAAGACGTGTACTAAAATATTACTGGGGTGAAGCACAAAATGACATGGGGAGTTTGCTTTCCATAAAATTTAAGGAGAGCCATGCAGATTCAAATCGACTTGCACATACACAGTTGTGAACAGGGGTTGCCTTCAGCAGAGGTGAAGGTCAGGAATAGCAAAGAGACATGTTTTCCATTATAAGTACTGCTCTACTCATGCAAATTTGCCACATCTGCTTAGAGAAAAATGACTTCAACAGCTTTATGAAGAAAAGCACAAAAGCCGTGTGGACCGTGCTAACAACAGAACGAGTTCATCTCACAATCACTCTCTATCCCAAGTGTTTGCTTAACAGGATGGTTAGTTATAAGAGAAGTGGAACTAGACGGGTCAGGACAAAGGTTTAAATACCAACGGGGGAAGCTGGGAATTGGGGGTAAAAAGAGGGGTGAAAGTATCCCGTCGAGCAGACAAAGGCACATGAGCTGTTTGGTCACATGACCCTTGGATGGGAAACAATGTCTGACATCGACAGACACATCACACGGGAAGACTGATTCGCACAGTGAGAAAAGGATTCCATTTTCAGATCTCTCTATATAATCAAAGACGTCTCCGTCTGATACAAACATGTCTTAAGACCTCTGAAAACCTTCCTGGCATTAAAACTCAGGAGCACAGGGGCTGAGGATATAGCTCAGTGGCATAAGCACCTGCCTGGCAAGCATAAGGTTGTGAGTTTGATCCCCAGTACCACAAAAAAAAAAAAAAAACCAAACGGCAGCACTGATTTAATTGTATCCCTCTTGCATACCCTTCTTAGGGCAAATGACTGATGGTTGTGAAGCAAATTTTTAAAAATAATTTTAATTTTCAAAAATAAGCCGGATTTGGTGAATTTTTTTCAGTATCACAAAGAGGCATAGGGAGAAGGCAAAAATTGCTAACATGGTGCCCCGGAATAAAAGCGAGGCAAGTTCTTCCGGTGGCTGCAGCCTCGTTCTCGTTGCCGGTAATGTTGAACAACAGCGTGCCTTGTTCCCCAGAGCTAGTTCTTTGGACGGCTAGGGCTACTAAGGACCAAAGCGCAGGCGCAAACTCTGAAGCCCAATTAAACTGTGGTTCTTGCCCCGGTGCACGACACCGACCCTTCTGTTAGCGTCCCAGGAGGCAGGAAACGCCTCACCTGAAACCGCTTTTCCTCCTTTCTGCCTCTCCAGTTCCTCCGCTTTTTTATTAGCTAATCCCAATTACAGCGCTTCGTTACTAACACCATAATCTCCGCCACTCTCAACAAGCATAAATTATGCAGTCCATAACAGTAGTCCACGTCTTAGAAAAAGTAAAACCTTTTCCTTTTAGTGATGGGGACTCAGATCTGTTAAGTCAACCCTTATGTTTTTTTAATTTATTTTTTTATTTTATGGGGAAAAGGGAAACAAACCTTGATAACAAAATAAGGGGAGAAGAGCAGTGCTTTCTGATTGGGGTTTTCCCTCTACTCATCTGCCTGTAACAGCTACGCTTGTTTTAGGAAGGAAATTACCGCCAGTGCCCGGCGCTAAAATTAACCATGCGCCGGGCATTTCCTTCCCCTTCGCGAGCAGTTTGCGGTAGCGGGAGAACCTTGGTCATTGTGTTAAAATCTACATCTGCCATTTACCAAAAGATGATGGAAAAGCACCTTCACTCACACCTGGGCCTGAACTGTGATCTGAGGGTACAAGCACCCTAGGATTTTCTTTCCAAACAAATGAAAAAGGACACAGCCCATGCCTGGCCTGGGCCTGGCGTAGGGTGGGTGCTCACCCGACAGCAAGACAAGTGTGATTTTGTTTGTTTCTTTTTCTCGTGGTCAGCAGTTGCTTCATCCAACATTTCATATGTTCCATTAATTAAAAGAAACATACCTTATCCTGGGATTGATTTTCAAACCCATTTATTACTCATTTCTCTGTGGTTTAATTTAATTAAATTGAGCGGCATATCAAATATTGATTTTAATAAAATCTTGATTAAGATTTGGGCAATTATCAAACACCATTTCTCATACCACTCCTGCATTTCAATGGAACTAACCTCAAAAGCCAATTTGCTTTTAAAATCAAGAAGTGATTTTAGGTATCTACCCGAGGCCATTTTCAGAAATAAGGAAAAAAAAAAAATGGCCTCCCAATCTTTTTATTAGCAAAGATAAGCAGTAAGTTCTAACCAGGGTTTAAAAGGCTTACTCTAGTTAATTACCTCATAAGTAAAGGAGAAAAGCAGAAAGAGAAATCAATTCCTTTGATAAGATTTAATTTGGCACCTACGGCATACACTGCCTGACACAAGGAAGAACTAATGATAGAGTCTGTTTTTATGGGTGCTACACATGAAACTCTTTAACGTTATTAAATACTAACCAGAGAAGTACATGTATTCTGACCTTTGAAACTGCTCTGTTGTGTAATTTATGATTATGGGCTCATCCTTAGGAGACTCTAATGTAAATGTGACAGTATAAATTATCAATAGTATCATATTATCAATTAACCAGAAGGATAAGACATATAATAAGTTAAATATTTGGTTTAAGAGTTAAGTGCTAACAAATTTCCAGCGCATAACTGTCACAGCAGCACCACCTAGAGGACGCTGGGGAGTAACACAGACTGATTTCCTCAATTTGCCCTCCTGGTTAGCATTTCCAAATCATGGTTCAAGTAAAGTATTTTAATTTTATCCAGATCATCTGGCATCTTCTTAAATCTCGAAATTTTTTTAATTGAATAATCTTAAAGTCACAACATATTTGGGCAGAGGAGCTCAATTCTCCTGCAGGAGGCGGTAAACCTGGATATGGTGCTGGAATCTCCACACCCTGGGCCGCCAGGACATGAGACACAGCTGTCCCCTCCCTCAGACACACACCCCTCCTTATGTTGTCCTGATCAGACACACAAACACGTAGGCAGAGTGGATATTTGGAAACACTTCAAAGTCATGTTCCTGAGCTCCGCTGCCCCACATTATTTAGAGGAGTTGAGAAGAAATGGCCTTTCTACTGTCAACTTGTTTACACCCGCAGATTCACTTCCTAATTCCCTTCTGCTGGCCAAAGCCAAATCAGTGTCCAAGGGTGGAGTTGAAGGAGAAGTGGCAAAACATTTCTTATTGTTCATAGCTCTCACTTTTCTTTCATTATTTTCTGCAGCTCTTTACCATCTGGAAACTTCCTTGGGGGCCTGTTAAATGGGTTAAAATGTAGATAATAGAATAAGTCAGCCTTTCATAGGGACTGGCACTCTCCCTGTGTTATCTGAATTCAGAATTTCAGCTGACTTTGCTGATGGCAGCTTCACAGGGGAATGGTAAAAATGCACACTTTGTGCTGGTAGGGTGGGGCCAGCAAGGCGCAAAAGGGTGCTGAATTTATTACCACTTGGAGGCACCATCTGCCTCTGGAAGGGAGACAGACATTTTGCAAGTCAAGGCATTACACAGAATGCCTTCGCCTTAGAAGCCGGGACTCCTATCTGAGCACACTATGTGAGAGAAGACAGCAGCTCAATGCGTGGAGAAGCTCTCAATGTCAGTTCCTGCACATGGGCCCAGTTTACCAAACCAGAATTATGTTTTGCCTAGAGAAATCTTTTCCCTATTCTGTACATTAAAGGCATAACTACAGTGACTTTCCTCCTTTGAAACATCATCAATTTCTTGTACATACTTTTCCCTCTGTCTCCCCCTATCCTCACCTGTTAGTGTCTATTGTTTTTCGGGGCTCAGATTAGATAGCACTAATGCTAGGAACCCTTCCAGCGTGCCCTCACAGTTCACAGGGGTGACTACCTCTGTGCTCCATTGTTAGAAACCTCTTGTGAAGTTTTGTAATAACTTGTTTCTTAACCATATCCCCCGCTAGGAGGCAAGACCATGAAAGCAAGGAGTACTTCTGTCGTGTATTCGCTGCATCCTGCAGATCTATCTCAAACATCCCATCAACACTATGGACAGCATGGTTGTCCTATACAAGCAGGTTTGTCTCGGGAGGAGTTCAGACATTCCCTAACAGTGTCCATTTCTGTGCTAAACATGTGCGTTGGTACCCACCAAATGCCCCCGACTCATACCTTGTTCTCTGAATCCCCCAGGTAGTTAGAAGAACATTCAGCAAGGCAAGCTGTCTCTTGATAGTCTAGGTTCGTGGCAGTTCTGCTTGGCTGTGTCTTCACCATCCCCAGGCTCACTGTAGGATCCACAACAACACATCCCAACTCCTGAGTCAGCTGCAAGAGAAGTAGTGCACCGATATATTTACAGAGGGGATCTTTCCGGGGTTCCTGGTATGCTATGATGAAGCAGCATTCTCCCTAGGAGAAAGAGGAGACCCTTACCTTTTGCCGCAAAATCTTTGCAGTTGACATCATAGCACAAGAAGAAGGAAAGGGAGCTCAGCTATGTGACTCAGCTACTACTGTGGCCATGGAAGGACTGTGACATTTTGGAACTAGACGAGCACAGGACCGTCTAGATAAGTTTAAGGATGTACAATAGGCACTCAAATACAGAAGCAGAGTAAATACAGAGTGAAATAAGATCTATCGCTCCAGGTCCTCCTCCTGTCAGTTGGATCCTGAGCCTCAGAAACATCAACCGCAAGACAGAGCTAAGCATGATGAACTCAGAGGATGATGGAAAGGGCCACTGAGTCAGAGCTCATGGAAGTTCTTGGAAAACTGTGCTCAGCTAAAAAAAAATGAGATGATTAAGTGTTAATAGAAGCCCACCCCACCGCCAATGTCCAATATCTTAGCTTTTGAAGATCTACCTTCATCTTGACAAATGTTTAAATAGGAAATAAAACTTACAGCAAAATTAGCCTGGTACCTATTAAATGATAATGGGTAGATACTGAGTGTGAGACCCAGGAAGAGATCATTTGGGGTAAAGAAGAGTCTTGTCTTGTTGTTCTCATAACTGTGTAGACAGAAATACACATGCAGCATACAATAAGTACTGCTCCTGTCAATTCTCTTGTGAGAGGATCATAATTTTTATTAACTCACAAAAGCATTTTTAATCTATCGGAAATTGGAAAAACATAGGATGTGAATTTCCAAAATTGACAAAGACATCAAGCCTGATTCAAATGACACATTAGGGGCTGGGGATTTAGCTCAGCAGCACAGCACCTACCCAGCAAGCGCAAGGTCATGATTTTGATCCCCAGTACCAGGAAAAAAAACAAAAACAAAAACAAACAAACAAAAAAAAATGACACATCAAACCCCAAGGAAGAAAATTCAAAGAAAACCTCATGTAGTGAGATGTCAATATGAGTGACACCTTCTCTGCATCCTTGCCCACATTTGGTGTTTCCCTTGTTTGACTTTAGCTATTCTGACATGTATGTGGTGATACTCATTGTGGTAATGTATGTGTGGTCATAGCTCACATAATTTACATTTCTTAGTGGCTAGTGATGTTGAGTATCATTTTCACCTGTTTATTTACCTTCTGTATGTCCTTGTTCAGGAACAATGTGGTACCAGTGTATGAGAACTGCCCCACGGTGGTGTGAGATGAAAGAACGAGCCAGAATTGCACATGGGGTAGTTTATTAAAGGACTTACTGACAGAAGCATGGATCTGGATGGCAAATACACTGGATCCTGATTTGGGTCAGAGGAAGAGTGTTAGGACAGAATTACTTCATCAAGCCAGGATGTGTCTCATTTATCTTCAGCTAAGATCAAGGACATCAGGCACTGATAATGTCAGTCTGGTCATAAAGCCCCACATATCACTCTAATGGTCTTATTTATTTATAATAGGCTTGGGAGACCAAGTGGAGAAAATAGGCCAGGATTACTCAGGCGCCATCTTGGCAGTTACAATTCAAGATGTCCGCATCATGGCAAAGGGAGTCCACACAATCTTCATCAGTGAATGTCTCTGTCTTCTGCCCACTTTCTGTTTCATTCTGTTTTGAGGGTTCTTTATTCAAAATAATGATCTTTTGTCACATACATGATGTACAAATATTTGCTCTAGCTCTGTAACTTGCTGTTCATTCCCTTAACAGGGGCTTTTGAAGAGCAGTTTTTAACTAGATGAAGTCTCATTTATCAATATTTCCTGTTACGGATTATCTGTTTGCTAACAAGTCTAAGAACTCTGCTTAGCCCTATAGCGTAAAGATTTTTCTTACTTTTTCTTAAAATTTTCAGTTTACACTGTACATTTTAAGGGCTATACAATCAACACCATTAGGAGACAAGCTACAGAATGGAAAAAATCTTACCGGCTACTCATCTGACAAGAGGATCAATATGCAGACTATACAGAGAACTCAAAAACAACAACAAAAATAAGTAATGTAATCAAAATGGGCAAACAATCTGAACAGATACTTCTCAAAACAAGTATAAAAGTACAATAAATATATGAAAAATGCTCAACATCTTTAACCCTCAGAGAAATGCAAATTAAAACTACACTAAGCTTGCATGACACCCCAATTAGAATGGCCACTATCAAAAAAATTGGTATAGATACAGCAAAAAAGAAATGCTTATACACTGTTAGTGGGAATGTAAATTAACACAGTCACCGTGGAAAACAATATACAGGTTCACAAAAAACTAAAACTAGAACTACTGTGTGATCTAGCCGTACCACTTCTAAGAATATATCCAAAGGAAATGAAGTCAGAATACTATAGAGACACCTGTGTAACCATATTAATTGCAGCATTATTCACAATAGCCAAGAAGGAATCAGTCTAGGTGTTTGTGTCAATACATTAGTGGCTAAATAAAATATTATATTTACACAATTGAGCTATAAAGAAGAATGAATCTTGCCATTTGCAGAAAAATGGATGGAAGTGGAGGACATAATATTGAGCAAAATATGCCACAGGAAGAACAGTATTATACATTTTCTAAATATGCAGAAATTTTTAAAAAATTAAAAAGAATGATCTGACAGTAGAGGGACTACTAGAGACTAGGAAGGGGGACAAAGGAAGTAGGAAGGGGGATGGGGAGAGAAAAAATACAAGGCAGAGTGAAATGATCAGTGCATGCTATGTGCATGTATGGAAATATGACAGTGAAACCCATTAGTTTGTGCAACAAATACATGTTAATGAAAAATATATTTTTAAAAAGCAAAAAAGAACTGCATCAAACTGGTATGCTAATTTGGAACAAAGAGACAATTCTTCATTTATGCACAGTTTTCTGTTTTTATCGGCAATTTGCAGTTTCAACACACACATCTTGTATGCATTGTGTTGGATTTATAACCAAGAACTTCATTTTGAGTAACTGTAAATTTTATATATTTTAAAAATTTGATTGATAAACACTAACGTCAGTTTCAGATGCCATTGAAATTTTTCCAACTATCCCCACAATCTCTTTCTTGGTTCTGGATCCAGTTTATGATCATATGTTGCATTTAACTGTCATTTTTTAAGTCTTCTTTAGTTTGGGACAGTTTCTCTATATTCCCCTGTCCTTTAAAAAAAAAAATATTTTAAAAATTTGGCACCCGTGAATTCATTGCTGGTACGTAAAAATACAATTGATCTGAGTATGCTTCTCTTTTAGCCTGTGACCTTGCTGTTATAGACTCATTTATTAGCTCTAGGGGCTTTCTATTGATTGATTCTTTGACATTTTATACATGGCTCAAACATGTCATCTCCAAATATGGACAGTTCTATTATTTTGTTTCCAATACGTATGCCTTTTATCTCCTTTTCTTGTCTTATTGCACTGGCTACAAGTTAGCGTTATGTTGAGTGTAGCAGTGAGAGAGGACATCTTTTTTTGTTCTCAATTTTAGGAAGAAAGCACACAGTCTTTCAACATTAAGTATGTTAGCTGTAGTATTTTGTAGAGATGCCCTTTAAAAATGCATAGAAATTCCCTTTTATTCCTAGTTTTTATCGTGATAAATGCTAAATTTTGTCATTTTTTCTGCATTGACTGATATGATCATATGATTTTATTTTCTTCTTTACTCTGTCAATATAGTGGATAATATTGATAACTTTTGAATAAAGAACCAGCAACCAGCTTTGCATACTTGGAATAAAACCCAGTTCATAATATTGTGTTATTCTTTTTATACTTTGCTGAACTTTCTTACCTAGTACTTTGTTAAGGACTTTGCATGAAGGATATCATCAGTAGTTCTCTCTTTCTTCTCTCTCTCTCTCTCATCTCATACTAGTTTTGACTGGTATTGGTGTGAAGGTAATGGTAACATTATAAAGTCATAGAATGTGTTGGGAAATTCACTTCTATTTCCATTAAGAGACTGTGTAACATATTAATTCTTTAAATATTTGGTAGAATTCTTCAGTGAATTTCCAGTGAATATTTCTTTTGTAGGTTTTTTGAGTTATGACTTTAATTTATTTTGTTCTTGTTTATCTAGGCTCTTGGAATGAGTGCATGTTATTAATTGAAGAGTTTTACCTTTTCTAATCTTATCATTTAGTGCTATTCATTTCCTTCTCATGACTTTTAGCTATGTTCCACAAATCTGATATATTGCATTTTCATTTTCTTTCATTATATCTTTTCTCTTGAAAGCTCCTCTTTGACTCATGGATTATTTAGAAATAGGGTGCTTAGTTTTCAAGTGTACAGATTTTCTTGTTATCTTTCTGTTTATTTCTAGCTTAAATCCACTGTACTCAGAGAATACATATGCTTTCCATTCTTTTAAATTTGTTGAAGCTTGTTTTACAGCCCAAGCTAGGTCCACCTTGGTACATGTTCTGTGGGCACTTGAAAAGGGTACAATATCCTGCAATGTTGGTTGGTGTGCTCCACAAATGTCAGTTAGAGCCTGAGAGTTGAAGACATTGTAAACATCTCTATCTTTGGTGATTTTCTACTTACTTTTTCTATCAGTTGTTGAGTGAAGATACTGATGCCTTCGATTACCATTAAAATTGTGCTTGTTTCTCCTTTCAATTGTATTATTTTTTGCTTCACACATGTTTGAGCTCTGGTGTCTTGTGCATACACTTTTTTATTTAGGCTTGCTATTGTCTACTTGATGGATTCACCACATTGTTATGTATGATCCTCTTTGACTCTAATAATTTCCTTTGCTCTGTAGTCTATGTATCTGGTATTCATATGGCCACTCTTGCTTCCTTTGGATTAATGTTTACATGATATATTTCTCCTTTTTTATTTTCTATTTGCCTATATTATTATATTTGAAGTGGGCTTTTAGTAAGCAATATAGAATTGGA